CAGAGGCCAGATGCCCAGGAGGACTGGGCAGCCCTCAGAGCCCAGGAGGACGGGGTGCCCGTGCCCACTCACCGCCATGCTGTGCGACAGCTGCTCCGCTGTCAGGCTCAGGCTGTAGTGCTGGGCCTCCAGCCGCCGGCACTGCGTCTGCAGCACTTGGCGCTCCAGGTTTTGTTCTGCAAGATCCAAGGGAGAGGGGCTGAGCACCGGCTCCTCTGGCTCCAGGCCTGGCACAGAGGATGCCAGCCCTGATCAAGGCTCTGCCCAGCCAGCAGTGATTGCCCCCAGCACCCCAGAGCATCCCCAGCCCCTGCACTGCCCACAGGGAACCTCTGGGTCCCGCTGGGAGGATGCTGGACAGCCGTGAATACACTGATTTTTCACATATAGATCACTTTTCACCAGTGCCTGTCACTTTCACGCTGCTCCTGCAGTGCTGGAGATCCACCAGTGCTTCCCCAGCCCATCCCAGCGGGAACCAGAGATGCCTCCGAGGGGAAACAGAGGCACAAAGTTGGGGTTTACCCTCCGTGGCCCACCCTGCCCCCCTACCTTCTATATGTTCCTGGTAAGCTTCAAAAATTGCCTCGATCCCTTGCCACTTGGGCCTGGGGTAGTCTTCCTCCTCTTCCTCCTCCTCCTCCTCCTCGTCCTCTTCCTCGGAGGCCGAGTCGCGGGGCAGCGGGGGCAGTGCCCGGTGGGCCAGAGGCCCCTCGGCCGTGCCGTTGTGGGGGGGCCCGGCCAGGCGGGTGGACGCCTGGAGCTCCGGGATGTTGTAGTGGATGGAGGCGTCAAGTTTGTGGTTCTGCTCCGCCGTAAGCGCCGCCGTCCCCCCTGTGGGCAACCAGAGTCAGCCCCCTGCCTATTGCCTGTGCCCCCCAGTGCTGCCCTCCAAGAGGGATGCTCCCCTCAAGGCTTTAATTCCACCCCACCAGGACTTTTGGGGGGCTACAGCGTTTTTCATGGGTTTTCATCACTCCCCATGCACTGCAGTAGCTTTATTTATCTCACTCATTGAATTCAATGAGTTTGGGGGGGTTGGAGCTGGGTTATCTCAGCACCTTGTTTTTAGCTTCATAAATGAGCTCTGGGGATGCTCCAGCAACGAGGTTGCTAGTGACGAACCCTGGTGGTGGGACAACAGGGTGCTATAGCAGTGGCACCCAGCTAGCTTCCCAAATTCCTGCTTTTTTTTCTGAACATCAGGAAGAATTTACTGAAAGGGTTGCTAAATACTGGAAGGGCCTGCCCAAGGGGCTGGTGGAGTCCCCATCCCTGGAAGTGTCCAAGGAACA